TTGTAGAAAACTGTTATACCCAAATCAAATTTTCATGTATTAAATCTATTGGTTCGGATGATGGTCAGATCTGAGTTTTAGAAGGTATTAAAACCTATAAACATAAAATTGGTCGAAATTGCTTCTGCAATCTTATTTGATTTTGTGGAGAGTATGACAAGCAAGAAGTGACAAAGTTAGAGATTATAAGTCGAGGTAGACATCGGGGATTACAGAAAAAATCGAAGGTTGGAGAGGGAAATCAAAATGATAGAGGTAGAAAGTTAGAGCTTGGAAGGAAAATTGGGGTCGGAGATGATGAATACGACGGAGTTGTGCGAGGATTCACCTCCGATTTTTCTTACCCCGCATCCCCAAAGCTATTGTTTACCCTAATTAAATCAACCCTATTTTTTTTTTCCAAAATTTAAATTTATCGAGTGTGTGTTGATGTTAATTAACCACTCTTATTTGTTCTTGAAGTATCTTCCTACAGTTTTCCCAAAATACTCAATTATGAAGCATATTTACAAACAATAATGGAGAAACTGTATACTATTTTTTTTACCTAAGACACAAAATTTCTTGTTTACATGAGTATTTTAAGAGAGAGATAGAAAGTGAGAGAGAAGATTAGTTAGATTTTTTCGTTAGTTAAGATGGGGTGATCGAAGATTCTTGTAATGAGGATTTTGTGCATCACTATCATCATAATTCTTGAATTTAAACTTTTTTTTTGTACTTAACAAGCTGTAGTAGCAAATAATGATTTTCTGGGGTTGACTGTAGTAAGGTTTTCAACTTTACCTAATATTTGTTCTTACATGTATATTTTCCAGCTTTCATTGATTATTTTCAGGAAAAAAATGGGCAATATCCTTAAGACTAATATTTGTTCTTACATGTATGTTTTTCCTGCATTCTTTGATTATTTTTAGTCAAAGAAACCATGGAAGGCTAATGGAGAGGTTAGACTTTCTTTTATATTTCAAAGTGTTCTTGATTATGATATATATATATATATATATATATATATATATATATATTTATATATATATATATGTATATATATATATATATAACCATTCTAATTTGCTTTTCCTTGATACAAACTATCGATTAAAAATGGCTTGAACAGGTTAGTAAACAAGCCTGACAAACAACTCTTTTGTGATGGAATTATAGAGTGAAATCATCTGTAACACCCAAGAATTTGGAGTATATTTTTAAACCTTTCTTCTTCTGCTAAAATCTCAAGTGTGATCCATAAAAGAGAATTGTCACAGATGAGTACGCTGGGCGTACAAGGGCGATTAAGTCGGGCGCGGAAGCCACACGGTACGTTGGGCGTAGTGAGCCTAGACTCAAAAACCCTAATTAAGAGAGAGGCCTTACATATAGAATGAGAGGGTCTCATTTCCAGCCGCATTCTTCAGACAAAAACCCTCTCAAACCCTTATATACCTATTCTTGAGCTTGTTATGGCCTTGTTGAGCTTATATGTGTTCTTGTGGACTCTTGGGAGTTAAGAAGGAGCATGGAAGAGAATGGAATTGAAGTCTAGGCTTTGGATCTGAGCTTTCCTTGGGCTAGAGCACCATTTGAAGGTATAAAGTTCCAAGCTTTCCTTTTCTTTTATGTTGTGCATATTAGGGTCCATTTTAGGGTTTTTGGTCCCAAAGTTTGAAGCTTTGTGAGTTGTTAAACTCCAGAGCCCTTTAGCCGTCCTTTTGAGTGTTTTTGATGGAGTTGTTTCATAAAAATAAGATCTTGAAGGTTAAGATCAGGTCATGCATGCATAGAGAGCTTAATGAGTAAAGAGAAGGAGTATTGTGTGTGTTGTGATCACTTCAGCCATGAAAAGGCTAAAAGATTATGACTTTATGGAATAAGGACTGTTAGGAAGCGTAGATCCAAGAGATGAGCTAAGGTCTTAACGGGTTAAGACCCATAAAAATGGATTTAGCATAAATGAGGTTACACGCCGTGTAATTTCAGTATGCCCCGTGTACTAGGTTGAAGTCCTCGATCAGTCCTTGGGCGTTTGTGCGTACGCTGAGCGTACCAAGGAGGTACGCCCCGCGTAACCCCACTGTGGGATTTTGGACTAGACTTGATATTTGGGCTTTGAGTATTGGGCTTGAATCCTTGGGCTTGCATAGTTGAGCATATGAGCAGAGAATTAATCGATGTCTTGGGCCTCATGTTGGGCTTATCTTGTAGGGTGAGATTGGGCCTTGGGGAAAACCCATTTATTATTGGCCTTGGTAGGCCCAATGGATTAGGGCAAGAATGGGCCGGTAGATGGTCTATCTTTAAACCTAGTAAGCGAAAGGTTGGACTTAGTTCCTAATTGGGTTAATTGTGGGATTTGACACAGAGTTAGAGATTGGTGTTTAGCAGCAACGCGACTAAAGGTGGATTCTTCATGGAAGGTGAGTTTTCTTACTATACTGTACCCGGAAGGGTTTTATCGTGTGACCAGAAGGTCGGATATGTTATGAGTTGTATGCATTGTATATGATAAGTAAATCGTTGTATGTGCTATGTATGCTAAGCTTGATATGGTTCAGAAGGCATTATGTTATGGGCCGGAAGGCATATATGTTATGGGTCGGAAGGCGTTGTGATGTGGACCGTAAGGTTGACACGGGTAGGACCGGAAGGTTTACCGAGTTGGGACGGAAGTCCCCTGAGACACATGGACTGGAAGGTCAGGGCTTGGAAGGGCATATGTGCGTAAGTAGTATTTTGGGGAACTCACTAAGAATTTATGCTTACAGTTGTTGTGTTATGTGTTTCAGGTACTAGCGAGGACCGTGGGAAGGTGCCGGCATGGTCTGTACACACTGATGGAAGAATTGTTTTATGATCTTGGGATGTATTTTTGTTACGATGGCATTTGTTAAACATGGGATTTTTCAATATTAAATGATGGTTTATGTTGTTTGAAAAATGAAAAATTGTTTTAAAAAATATGAGCGTTACAAGTTGGTATCAGAGCCTTGGTTTGAGGGATTCGGGTACACCTGCGGGAGTAACTAAACTCAAACCGAGGATTTGAGAAAAAGATTTTCCAATAATAAAAACATAAAATCTTATAAGGGGTTTTGAGATAACCAAAGAAGGAGCAATGTGTACGGTCAGCCAGCGCCCGAACGGTAAAATCCCCAAAATACCCTTATGTTAAGTATTATGATATGTGATATGCTATGACATGTGAGGAGTTAAGTTATGCATGTTAGAGTAGGCTAGGTAATCATGATAGGACTGGAGTGGCCTGATTTTTGATGCCTTAGCCTAGGAGATTGGTGCTACTATGAGATGCTTGAGAGCGAGTAGGTAGTAGTGAGGAGCTCATGAGAGGTTTGCCGAAGGGTAGTCTATGATAGCGAGATGTAGAGTACTTGTGAGTTGGGATCCTGGGAGGAGGACTTGGGGTGAATGTTGATGCGGTGTAGGAGGTAGTATTGGGCCCGTACTACCAAAAACACCGGATCAATGCAAAGTCCAAGTAAGAATCCTTAGGGTACCAAGGAACAAGTAGGATTGGATGTTCGAGTGTGAGTATACTCGAACAAGTCTCAGGTATCTTGTGTGTTGTGCATCAGAGACATCATGGTGGGTATATGTCACCCAGAGAACATAAGAGCTAGCGATGACAAGATTCATAGGTTGATTCATGAGGAGGTGGCTGCAGCCATGCGGGAAAGTTATACCCGAGAAATTTGGATCTATTGAGACCACATTGATCGAGACGTTCGATGAACAGTATGCTGTGGATTTAGATCGTGATGCTGTTGCAGCCGTCGTAGCTGCTAGGCCATAGGGGGAGGTGTCTCGTCGCTGTACCGATAGTTCAGTGGCACGAAGCCACCAGAATTGATGAGACTCAGGGTCCGATAGCAGATTGAGGAGTGATGTCATGGTCCTTGTACCATGCGTCGTAACATATTGAGAAGTAATGTTATGGTTCGAGTACCATGCTGCAACAGATTGAGAGAGGATGTTATGGGCTGAGTGCCATGATTTGTAGCAAATGCTGCTTGTGGTTCCCCCGTTATCCAGTCATGATGGATTAGGTGGAGTTCGAATGAGATAGGGCATTAGGCCAGAAGGCCATGTTGAACGAGTTCCAATGGAGCATCCCTTGAGAGGGAGGTTATGGTAATTCCAAGTAGTTGGATGAGATGTCAAATCTAGTCGAAAGACTCAAGGATGAGTAGGAATGATTGTTTTTTGTCGGATGAGCCACCAGTGGTTGGAATTCAGTGTTCTAAGTGGTGATAATTGGAAAATTCTCAGGAGTATCGACAAGCATTAGAGGATGATTAGCTGTTGGGATTATCAGTGTTTTTATCAGCCAAGAGTATGGGATGGTATGAGCAAGTGACAGACAAATAGGACAGGGAGCAGACCATGGTTTTCAGGAAAGGTAGTGGTCGATGTGAGGCCTGGGTCTAGGCCATGGAAAGGATTCCGGGAACGGAACAGGAGCTCGGAACCCCCAAAAGGGCTAGAACAGTATGTATGGGAGATATTCCCAGGAAAGAGGGTTCAGGATGACATAAGAGAGTTTTGGAGTGGTCCAGATAGGCTGAAGGCCTTGTAAGGTGGTCCAATCATGCCGAAGACTCTGTAGGTGTTAGTGGATCGGTATGAAGAGAATGAAGGAATGTTTAGCCAGGAAATGGTAACTGATATGGTCTGGCCCCAAGTATTAATCATGGTTATGGAAAGCAATGCATGGACCCAAGAGTCATTGCGAGCAGATTTAGAGTATATGGAAGTTTGAGGACAACAGTTTCTCTATGTGGATAGTGTAGAGTGGATTTCCTGGAAAGGAAAGGTATGTAGCTTCGGAAGGAGCAAGGGTCCTTCGTGAGGGAGGAAGTGGAGTAAATGGATGACCGACATGCTCTTGTTATTGGTGGTAAGTACAGAGCTTGTATCAGATGTATGGAAGCACCTACGAGTTGGCCGCTCGTGGAAGTAGTGGCAATGATGAGTGATGCGCAGGCATGATTTCAGTTCCCTCGGAAGAGGAGGAGGATAGTGATTCCAGAGTAGAGACCGGATCAGGAAAGGTGAGACAGCGGGATAACAGGCTTGGGGTAGTCTGGACCGGTGCTGAGAACCGCAGGAGGATATTACGATTGGAGGTCAAGGACCTAGGAACTGTGATATGGAGGTGTGAGTGATGCTTGTAGGAGTTGAAGGATGCGGTATTCTGCTCCCGTGCAAAGGATTGATTCAGAGGGGGAATCAGGATTAGTTCAAGGTTGCAAGATATCAGAGTTATCGCCAATTTTGGGGCGAAAAGAGATGGATTAGTGTCTTAGCAGAGCTTAGTGGGGGAGTGTGGTATCTAGCAATTCGCAGGTTGCGATAATGTATCGCTGAATTGGAGGGAAGGTATCTTCGGGTGATACGTGGATGAGATGTGGTGCATCGAGGTATCCGAGTTTAATGCCTTGGGTTTTGGATAATTTGGAGTCTTGAGTAGAGACGTCAAGTGATGTGTCTAGCATCTATGGATCCAGTGGGAGCTCGTTGGCTAATAGCATCAAATGAGGATATTTAGAAATAAGGATTGCAATGGGGAAAAGTGTTTGGGTTCTGGCGGTTGTTGCTAGAAATATTGATGCATGATTTGGATGAGTGTGGGCATTTATTTATGTCAGATCGCAGAGCATGAGTTAATGGACGTAGTGTAGTGATGCTACAGGGAGTCGTAGTATTCTCCAGTCAGCGAGAGGTGGTTATGAGGGAATACTCTTGATCACAACACGGCACATGAGAATTTTAGGCTTGGGTAGCCTTAATGGTTGAGTTTTGGGAGCTTGGCGGTCGAACCTGGGGAGAGACTGGGGTCTCCATTCTTGTCAGAAATTGCAATATTTCAAATTAAGTTGTGGATATCGCAACAAAAAGGGGTTTAGGGAGGAGGTTTGTTCGCAGGGTGCGAGTCATGAGTTATGTGATGGGTGTTTCGTTGGAACGAGTAATTCCAACATTGGGGTAGCCCCAAACTCTCAAGATGAGTTGGGATGTGGTGATGCGTCAGGTACGTGGTATGAGTTTTGGATGTAGAGGTGAATTATGTGTTAAGACCTAAGTAGGGTCAGTCTGTCAGTACGGGATATACCATGGGGTACATGAGACGATTCTAATTGAGAATATAGTAACCGTTTGAAGTAAAGAGAACTTTGTGACTTGTGCGTCTCTGGGAAAGGAGAGATGATATGAGAGGGAATCCCGGGAGGCGTTGGATCAAGGGATGGATAACCATGAAGGTTCAATGTGTGGGTTGAGGTCATACCTCGTGTAGTGTCAAAAAGGGATATGGGGTCTGAAGCTGAGGCTTATGAGAGTGATGTCTGAGGAAACTTCTAATCGAACATGGTTGTTATTTTGTTCTAAGGGCAAAGTGTTATGGGTTCCTTTCAGATGGGTGCAAAAAGCAGTTAGTGGGTGTATGAGCCCTAGTCAGGTGTGGACCTTTCTGTGCTTGGGACGAGAGTCAGATCATTTAGCAGGGTTGGTATGAGGGAACGGTAGCTGATTTTGGGTTTCAGTCTCATCAGAGTCATAGGATCAGTGAGTTATTCAGGGTTTGGCATTCGAGGATCGAGTATCATGGTGATGATTGGAGTAGGCGGTCCGGCGGCGGGTTATGCCAATAGAGTTCTCAGATATGGGGATTGAGTATATCAGCATTGGAGTAGTTGGATTAGTTTTGATTTTGGGAGTTCTGTGTGGATTCAGTTGTCCATGGAAGAAGTTTTCGGTGTGGTATGAGATTCATTCGGTAGGTGCCTTTCATAGATTTAAAATATGTGGTTAAGGAGTGATTTCGAGGGCGAAATCTAATTTAAGTGGGGGAGAATTGTAACACCTGGGAATTTGGAGTATAATTTTAAACCTTTCTTCTTCTGCTAAATTTTCAAGTGTGATCCATAAAAGAGAATTGTCATAGATGAGTACGTTGGGCGTACAAGGGAGTACGCTGCGCGTACTCATGTGATTAAGTTGGACGTAGAAGCCACACGGTACGCTGGGCGTATTGAGCCCAGACTCAAAAACCCTAATTAAGAGAGAGGCCTTATATATAGAATGAGAGGGTCTCATTTCCAGCCGCATTCTTCAGACAAAAACCCTCTCAAACCCTTATATATTTGTTCTTGAGCTTGTTATGGCCTTGTTGAGCTTATATGCGTTCTTGTGGACTCTTGGGAGTTAAGAAGGAGCATGGAAGAGAATGGAATTGAAGTCTAGGCTTTGGATCTGAGCTTTCCTGGGGCTAGAGCACCATTTGTAGGTATAAAGGTCCAAGGTTTCCTTTTCTTTTGACTTGTGCATATTAGGGTCCATTTTAGGGTTTTTGGTCCCAAAGTTTTAAGCTTTGTGAGTTGTTAAACTCCAGAGCCCTTTAGTCGTCCTTTTGAGTGTTTTTGATGGAGTTGTTTCATAAAAATAAGATCTTGAAGGTTAAGATCTGGTCATGCATGCATAGAGAGCTTAATGAGTAAAGAAAAGGAGTATTGTGTGTGTTGTGATCACTTCAGCCATGTAAAGGCTAAAAGATTATGAATTTATGGAATAAGGACTATTAGGAAGCCTAGATCCAAGAGATGAGCTAAGGTCTTAACGAGTTAAGACCCATAAAAATGGATTTAGCATAAATGAGGTTACGCGCCGTGTAATTTCAGTACGCCCCGTGTACTGGGTTGAAGTCTCCGATCAGTCCTTGGGCGTTTGTGCGTACGCTGAGCGTACCAAGGAGGTACGCCCCGTGTAACCCCTCTGTGGGATTTTAGACTAGACTGGATATTTGGGCTTTGAGTATTGGGCTTGAATCCTTGGGCCTGCATAGTTGAGCATATGAGCAGAGAATTAATCGATGTCTTGGGCCTCATGTTGGGCATAGTGGAGTATATGAGCAGAGAATTAATCGATGTCTTGGGCCTCATGTTGGGCTTATCTTGTAGGGTGAGATTGGGCCTTGGGGAAAACCCATTTATTATTGGGCCTTGGTGGGCCCAATCGATTAGGGAAAGAATGGGGCGGTAGATGGTCTATCTTTAGACCTAGTAAGCGAAAGGTTGGACTTAGTTCCTAATTGGGTTAATTGTGGGATTTGACACAGAGTTAGAGATTGGTGTTTAGGAGCAGCGCGACTAGAGGTGGATTCTTCATGCAAGGTAAGTTTTCTCACTATACTGTACCTGGAAGGGTTTTATTGTGTGACCAAAAGGTCGGATATGTTATGAGTTGTATGCACTGTATATGATAAGTAAATCGTTGTATGTGCTATATATGCTATGCTTGATATGGACCGGAAGGCATTATGTTATGGGCCGGAAGGCATATATGCTATGGGCCGGAAGGCGTTGTGATGTGGATCGTAAGGTTGACGCGGGTAGGATCAGAAGGTTTACCGAGTCAGGACGGAAGTCCCCTGAGACACATGGACCGGAAGGTCAGGGCCTGGAAGGGCGTGTGTGCGTAAGTAGTATTTTGGGGAATTCACTAAGCATTTATGCTTACAGTTGTTGTGTTATGTGTTTCAGGTACTAGTGAGGACCGTGGGAAGGGTCGACGTGATCTATACACACTGATGGAAGAATTGTTTTATGATCTTGGGATGTATTTTTGTTACGATGGCATTTGTTAAACATGGGATTTTTCAATATTAAATGATGGTTTATGTTGTTTGAAAAATGAAAAATTGTTTTGAAAAATCTGAGCGTTACATCATCTAAATTGTAATATCCTTGCTGCAACTATTTCCTCTAACCTAACATTTGATATTGAGTCATCACTCACTCACCGCAACTCATATATCTATGGTCTATACACGTATAAATATTACATATATGATATGATATATCTAAAGTTTGTCAATTTACTGATTTGCCCTTGACTGAAAAAAAATACAGGATGGATTCAACCGCATGACTTCAAACGATATTCCTACTTCTTCAATTATGGAACAACACCCATATGCTTACATGGATTATCAAGGAATGAATATTAGAAACCAAGTTGAAAGGAAATGGGCTCTTGGACTTCAGGTAAGTTTCTTGAAATAATTAAATAAATTAAACATTTTTTTCTTATTGTTTTTTATTTTTCTTTTTGACTTTTTTATTAAATTTGTAGATGAAATTAGTTTATTAAAAATATCTTATAACAAGAAGTTTTATAGGTAAGCACCTAACTTCTTGGTGTTCTTTAATTAGTTAAGGCTACAAAATAATGACAATTTTCACAAAAAAAAAGTTTTGACATCGAATCAGATTTACAGGTAAACTTTTTAACTTCAATTGTTTTTAGGGAAAATTGTCAAAATCACTATTGTGTGAAAAGTTTTTGGTTTATGTTTTTAACCACTAGAAAAGTATTTATCTTATTTAACCACTGAGACTTTGATTTATAATTTTTTTCAGTTTAACCACCAACATATTTTTTCTTTTTTACAATTTAAGCATAACATCTTTTGACCATTGTCCAGTCCTTTCATTTGGAAATCTAAGTCTAGTCCTTTTGAATAATTTGTGCCTATCAGCATATTGAACATAAAGTCTAGACATTTCAGCTTTAGTGCATTACACAAATTTTATATTGCCCTTTAGCAATAGACTTGATATCACTTCCCAATTAACAAAACTAATGGAAGACTATAAGAAAATAAAAGATTAACTTTAAAACGAATCAATGTAATAAAAACTTAGGAGTATCAAGAAGAAAACTTAAACCGGAAGTCACCGATTGATTTTGCATCTAGAAGGTCTGAGAACAACACATACAATCTCAGAACAGATCCAAAATTCTTCATGTCATTAAGCACTAACCCCATGTGTGATCCCTTCCCTTCTTCCTTTCCCGCAAAGGACACATATTCTCACTTAAAGTTTTGAGTGTTGTACAGTTGAGAGATGTCCCCTATCATGTGCCTGGAACAACCACTACCAATAAACCGAAGTCTGATGATATGCCTCCATAGCTGCTCCGACATAGAATAGGATCAGTTAGTCTTTGGAACCAGTCCATTCTGAAACTAGGTTGACCTTTTTCATCCTTGCACGAAACTCTCTCCCATGACATATCCTGATTATCACAAAAAGAAGATGTAGAAATGTTAGAATCATTAGGTGATTTGGGAGATTGAACCTTTGTGTCACACCCCGAAAAACCAAAGGCGGAAACGTCCCCGGGGTTGACTCCAAGTTGTGTATCAAATCCAATGTACATAGTAATCACAGTAAACAAACATTACATTACATATGTATGAAAGTTTACATTTGTTCAAAAGTAAAGTTATACAAGATATACATATGCACCATATAAACAAAAGTTGAGACGAGTCTTCCACGCACTCCGTCTTCATCAAAAGAGATCACCGGGTACCTGTCTAACTTGGACCTGAGAATACAAGCGGTTGGAAAATCAGCATAAAGCTGGTGAGTTCATAAGCGGTTTTGGTTTATGAAAATGTATCGGTTTCCTTTAGTTTCCGAAAAAGTTGTTATCCAAGAAAATCCCATATTTTCTTATGTGAAATTGGTTAAGTTATCATTTGTTACCAATTCGGTTATGTATTGTATTTTACCCCAGGAAAATCCCATATTTTCCTAATTATAAGATCGGTTGTATATCACAAAGTATAGTTTAACACACAAAACTATATAATGAAAATCTTGGGATTACTATCCCGAAAGACATATAAGATAGTTTGACACATCTGAAAGTGCAGGTTTAAGATCATGGGACTATCATCCCGGACTAAACACGAGATAAGTTGATGTATATATGTAAATGTAGATTGAAACCATGGGATCACTATCCCGAATAAGATACAGATTTGGAAAACCATGGGATCACTATCCCGTATAAGATATAGATACAAAACCTTGGGATCATTATCCCGTATAAGATATAGATTTAGAAAACCATGGGATCACTATCCCGTATAAGATATAGTTAAAGACCATGGGGAAAGACATGGATTTAGAAAACCATGGGATCACTATCCCGTATAAGATATAGATACAAAACCTTGGGATCATTATCCCGTATAAGATATAGATTTAGAAAACCATGGGATCACTATCCCGTATAAGATATAGTTAAAGACCATGGGGAAAGACATCCCGTACAAGTTATAAGCATAAAACCATGGGATCACTATCCCGAAAGAGATCTAGAAACAATATCATGGGATCACAATCCCGAAAGAGATATAAAATATAGATGCAAAACCATGGGATCACTATCCCGAACGAGATATAGTTTCTGAACCCAAACTGTGAATAAGCTGGTATTAATACATATTGTGAGTCGGGTAACCATACTAATACGACAACGTGACCTCCTTGACGTTTGTCAGACGTCGAACGATATCCAGAAATTTGTCACCCTAGGCGTGCCCGCCTAACTGTAGCTAGCAGTTAAGGTGTGGGATTGTCAGTCCCGAATAGATCTATTCACAAATTCCGCGCTCTCCCTCCAGGAGACTCTGGTTACACTTCCGGGGAGGATTTACTGATCATCCATAAAGGGTAGTGACTATCTCACAAACTAGTACTAAACTATTCACAGGGTTCTTGTAAGATATCGATATACAGAAGATTATGAAACATAGTACAGTAAAGTATAGATACATACATGAAATTATCTGACAATACATTAAAATGATACGGAGATAAACTGAATCAGACATAGTTTATCTAATAACTTGATATAGACATCAGTATACGATAGAAAGAATAGTAAAGACCCCAAATTATTCCCATAATAATTTGATTAGTTTGATTGTTTCCTTAACTAAAATCCATTTAGTTGAAATCGAATAGTCATTCCTTATGCTCAGCATAATACATAAGGAGTAAAAGAGTTTATAGGTTTGTCAGATATTGTTTGAAACACATCAATGTTGTGATTGGAAAACAGTTATAGTTTGCTTGTATTCCCCCCCTGAAAACATTGAAAACAGTGAAAAAGCCGTAGGGGTATGAACTCACCGGACGAGATACGAGACGGTTTGGATGCTAAGAGTTGATCCGGAACTTGTAAACACACGAGGTTCCTAATTATCATGTAAAGATACACATTTGTATCTAATTAGGACTTAGATTGATTGTTGGATAGGGACAAATGCTTCAAGTCGCGATAACACTCCGATACAAGTGTTTGGAAGGACCCGGGTGGCGTTTAGGGACATGAATGATACAAGGGACTTGGGAAATGAGTTGGGACATCAAAGGAACACCCCCTTTAGGGAGTTTACGGCCAAAACACCCATCCCCATGAGTTTACGGCCGTAAACTCATGATGGGTGGTTTATGGTGCAATTTGGACTTCCAACACTTAGGGGATAATTTCTAAACTTGGTTTAAGGACTTGGAATGATTACAAAACATCAAATAGACCCCCTTTATGGGAGTTTACGGCCTAGCATGGCTCCAAGGCCGTAAACCCCTATTTACCCAAGAAAATGATGTTAAATGGTGCTAGAACAAATCACATGTGATTGGTAGAATTTATCCAAGGCCTATCATGAGTTTGCAAGGGACTTTTGGGGTGTTTATGGAGTTTACGGCCCATGAGACCCCCTCATGGCCGTAAACTCTTCTATAGGGTGCTTCAAGGAGTTTCAAGGTCTAAAACTTGCATGAAAGGACTTCTAAAATTCATCTAAGGGCCTTAGGGGTGTTTAGTTTGCATTCTAACACCAAGAATTTTGGAGTTTACGGCCCAAGAACAAGTCTTGGCCGTAAACCCTTAGAAATCCCATGAATGATGTGTTTTAGGCCCTCAAAGTATTTTTGGTTGGTCCCTTGATTTATTCCAAGGCTTTTGGTGGTGTTGGATGGCTTTCTAACACCTTAGAATTGGATTTATGCCAAGTTTTGGGGAGTTTACGGCCCAAGCACTCTCCTTGGCCGTGAACTCATCTAAATCCCCCAAAATTCATGTTTCAAGTGTCCAAATGCTAGAATCAAGGTCCTATAATTCATATCTAGGCCATAGAAGTGATTTGGAAGGGTTTAAGGGCATGAAAACCCTAATTATATGAGTTTACGGCCCAAGAATGATCCTTGGCCGTAAACTCCTTCAAACATCACAAAATTCAAGTTTTACATGTTTAGAGTCCATATCTTGAAGTACCATAGCCATATCTAAAGTCCAAACTAGTCAAGGAGGGGTTTAAGGGCTCAAAACCCATCATTTTTGGTGTTTACGGCCTAGGCATCTTCCTGGGCCGTAAACTCATACATTGTGTCCCATTTCATGATTAAGTGTCTAATTTGGAAGCTAAACATGCTATAGATTGAAGCTAGGAAGGTACCTTAAGGATTTGAAGCCTTAAAATTGAGTTTTGGACCCTTAATCTTTGGATTTTTGGAGAGAGGTTAGAGAGAGAGTAGTGAGAGAAGGAAAAGCTTCAAATGAAAGCTGAAACACGTTTATATAGTTCCTAAAATTTGCACGCGGTGGAATTCTACCCGATACCGACGCTAAACGCGGCTTTTGGTCGCACCCGATTGAGTTTCCGTCACCCGACGGGAACATTATAAAAACTCATGAAATAAATGTTTTTGGGCTAATAACATAAGTTCCTGAGTGATTTAGACACTCATTAGAATAAAATAAACATATAAGTTTATACGATTAACTCCAAAGAGAAAACGGAACGAATCCGATAACGACGACTTTCCGGGTAGAACGGGTTTTGGCGACGAACAAATTTCGGGTTGTTACATTATCCCCCCGTTAGAGGGAATTTCGTCCCGAAATTCAAAAAATGGGATATAGATCATGAGTTTGAAATGAAACTCGAATGGATTCGATATTTTGGATCATCACTTTCTCAAGTGGAATCGGGTCTCTACAAAGATTTCAAAACATACGATGTGGAATTAAACTTTAGACGTTCGAATGAAATTCCCGGAAACTCTTCGGGACAGATATTTAGTAGAAAGAGCTACTAACTTCTCGTTTCTCGATGATCACAAAAACGAGGAATGTGGTAATTCGTACCAGGAAAACTATTGAGTTTTAAAGCATGAAACAATACGAAAGTTCGATGTCGAAGATCATGAGAGTTAGGTCGAGGAAGAGATATAGACGGGCGACCCTCTCGAAACTAGGATAACAACATGAATGAGACTTTCGTC